ACAATAGAGAATAACAAAATATGATATTGTGAGGTAGCCCGTAACAGTCGACCCCCCAAAAATGAAAACGTGTGTCCCCACACGATGAACAATAACATGTAACAATATAACAAAAAGAAAGAACGAGATCGTATAATAATAGAGAACATTTTTTTTTTTGTTTTTTTTTGTTTTTTTTTGAAAACAGAAAAACAAACTAATAATAGAAATGGGAAAGAGTTCAAATAAAGAAAAACAGTTGACTATAACAACAAAATGACTAGAAAATAGTAATAATGATAATAATAAAAAAATATCATAATAATCATAATAACTGAAATGATATTAATAACAATAGCACGTGTAAATGAGCAGGAAAGAAAAAAGAAAGAAAAGAAAAACGACAAAATTATATATTTAATTTTTCCTCCGACGGGAACGTTTTTTATTGAATCTTTTATAATGTGCTTCTGTGAACATTTCGTCGTGTAATAGATTTTCCACGTGTTTTCGTGTTGCTTCATTCTTCACACCTATATATAATGTTGAATTGATCACATTAACATTTAACCAATGTATATTCATGTCAATTAATATTCCTTTTATATCTAAAGTGGTAAATTTGTAATAAATTTTACGAGTTACTTTAAAATTGTATCGAGCTGCTCGTTTTCTTATGTTGTTGCGTTGTGTTTTAGTTAATTGTTCTTTTGATGTTGAATGATGTTTCGATGTTGTTTTTATTTCTTTATTTATTAATATTGAATTTTGTATTGGTTGTTGCTGTTCTTCGCCTTCTGAAATAGCTTCAAGACCATCTAATATATTTGTTTGTCCATGAACCAAGAATACGACATTCGAATCCGGTTCATCTAATTCCATTATATCATTGACAGTTGTCCGTTCATCTAAGACATGAACTGATTCAACTGTATCATTATCATTTAATAATTCATTTGATTGTATTTCTTCTTCTGTTGGTTCACAATCTAAAATATAAATATTATTTTCTTCTAATGGTGGTTTAGATGGTTCAAAATGTTTCATTATTTGACTTAGCTTTGTAACTGAAAAACAGTCGTTGATTGCATAAGTTTCCATTAATTGACGTATTTGTTTTTCATCATAAATTTTTCTATCTTTAATATCATCATAATCATTCATTGTTATATAAGTTGCTAATAATAAATCAATACCACAACCCCAATTTGCAAGAGTCATTCTCTTGTCAAGCCATTCATTGAATGTTATGTACATTGCTGATTGTAATGAGTATTGATCACCAGCACCATCTTTAATATGAATTGATTGTGGATACGTACGATTGAACCAACCTTTGAATATATTCTGGGTATTTTTTGGTATTATAAAATCAATATCATCAGCATCAAATAATTTAAATCGTAAAAATTTTTTTAATTCTTTTTTTGGATCACCCCAGGAATTAATAATATGATTTGGTGAAAATATAATTTTGCATAATTGTTTGATTTTGTTAAATGTAAATGAATTTTCTGGGGGTAAATAAAATACTTCGATTAATAAAATAATTGATGGATCATTTTCATGAATAAATTGAACTTGAATGAGTGCAGGATCAGATGGTTTTGGTGGTTTATTTAATTGATCTTCCGTATCGATTGTATAATTTTTAATATGAAAAGCATAATCGATTAAATCATTTAAAGTACTAATTGATGTTTGACGATTGATGTAAAATTTTTTAAATAACGATGAAGGTAATTCAAATTTCCCACAGTTACCATTATTGTATAAGTCCTTAAGTTCATTATTTTTTTTAAATTTTCCTGGACAATATCTTTGTGTAAGTTTATCAAGTTGTGCTAATGGAGATATGTAATGATGTTGACGACGATAATAATGTGTTGTATTCGATTGTGATTTAACAATTGATGAAGATTTTTCTTGATAATGATATGTAGATGAATAGTAACGATTTTTATGAGAAGTAGACATCTGAAATAAAAAACAAAAAAAATTGTACATATATCCAGGACTCCATTAAAGAGTCCTCTGTCGATTTGATTTCTCATTATAACTAATAATCAGGAAAAACATAACGTGTTTCTCCTTTTTATGATAATAATTGATTTGTCTGTGTACATAATATGTATATATGTATATCATTAATATCTTTCGTTCTGTTAAGTCATTGTACAATCGAATAGTACATGTGATCAATATATTAATTTAATTCTACCGATCAGGTGTGGTATCATAATAATGAAATTCCATAAATGACATATAGGATAATTTATTTAATTAATAAAATTCGTATTGATGTTCATTGTTAATATTTATTATAGGTAATAATTTAAACTGTTGTTTTGTTTTTTTCCTTGTAAATAATCCAATAAATGTACATATATGTTGTAATATATGGATTTTCCATTCCTCTTCATCTTTTCTTTGCTCATTTGTTTTCCTTTTTTTTTTTTTTTTTACTGTTTCCGACGTTCTATGATTGACACCATGATGTCGCTGGTCACTTGTTTCACTAATGTTGGTGTCTTCACATGTTGAACGATAAATGTTTTCGTGCTAAGTTGTCGTGTTATCCTGAATGGTCCTTCATATCGTGCGTCGAATTTATTACGCATAGATAATATCTTAATTAAGACAAGATCACCGACTTTGTAATGTGGATTTGTGCGATGTTGATCATATCGTTCTTTATATTTCTCTTGTCGTTTCAGTATATTCGTTCTCGCTTGTTCCGTTAAAGTTGATAAATGATGATTTAATTTCGATTTATGATCTGGATCTTGGGGGAGTGTAACTAATGGTTGTTGTTGATCAAAGGGTAGAATCGGTGAACGTCCATGCATTAATTCAAATGGAATTTGTCCAGTTGTTGCATGGATGCTGGTATTATAGTTGAATGTAACGAATTGTAACTGTTCATCCCAGTTAGTACGTTTTTCATTTGATAATGTTGCTATTTTCGAATCCATCGTTGCATTGAATCTTTCGATTTGTCCATTGGTCATCGGATGATAGGGTGTTGAATATAAGTGTGTAATTCCTATCTTCTTGAACAATTCAGTCATCATGTCAGCAGTAAAATGTGTACCATTGTCCGTAAGAATACATTTTGGAGTTCCATATTTAAGAATAACATCTTCAGTTAGAAATCGTGCTGCAGTTAATGCAGTACAATCACGTACTGCTTTTGTAATTACAAATTTGGATAATACATCAGTTAATAAAATAATATATTTTTTCCCATTTTTTGTTGTTGGTGTAATCGGTCCATGGAAGTCCATTGTAAGTAATTGCCATACTCCTTCTGGAGGTTTTATCGGTTTTAAAGCACCTGGTGGTTTCTGTCGTAGTGGATTGTTTTTTAAACAAGGTAGACATGATTGCACGTAATTACGAATATCAGAAACCATATTTGGCCAAAAGTAACGCTGTTGAATTTTGTGGATGGTTTTATTCCGACCAAAGTGTGCACCATTTGCAGGTGTATCATGATAAATTTTAATTATGTCTAAACGGATTCGTCCCTTAGGTATAACGGGGACTGGTGGGAATCTTTTCTTCATTAACAGATTATTTTTAACAAAATATTCTTTGTAGTTCTTGATGTTGTGAATGATGTTGTTAATTTCATCATCTTGATGTTGTAATTCTTTTATTTGTTCCAATGTAAATGGTATTATTCTATCAGAGTCGGTGTTGTGGATAGATGTTGGTAGTTGCTCGGCTTTTGGAATACAGGAATGGTCGATTGATATGTCGACATTCCTCTCTTGTCGATTTCCATTACAGGTCTGATCTGGTACGTGATGATCAGTCCTCTCATTAAGCTGTTGTCTTGCTTGTCTACGAGTCATAATAGGTGCAATAATTTGTGTCTGCATATGATTATCAGTTTGTGTTGCTCTGGATGTCGTTGGAGTATAATCGTCTTCATCATTTGTTGCATTGTCTACAGGTGAACGAGATAAATAATCTGCTACCGTATTATGTTTTCCTTTAATATATCGTATAGTAAATTGATATTGTTGTAATTTCAAACGCCATCGTTCACATTTCGAATTTAATTGTTTTTTCGTATTAAATGGTAATAATGGTTTATGATCCGTTTCAATTATAAATGAACGTCCATCTAAATATTTGTGCCATTTTTCAATTGCAAATATAATAGCATAGCATTCTTGTTCTGTTGCAGGCCAGTTCATTTGTGTTGTTGTAAGTTTCTTCGATAAATATGCAATTGGTAAATCTCCATTTGGATGAGTCTGCATAAGAACAGCTCCAATTCCAATCTTTGATGCATCGGTTTGTATCTTGAATGATAAATTTTGATCTGGAATACGTAATACTAAGTCATGCGTTAATATTCGTTTTAATTCATTAAATGCATGTATTTCATCATCTGATAAATTAATGAGAGTAGATTGTGATTTTTGTGATCGTTGTTCTTTTGTAGTAGGTGCGTATTTATATAAAGGTTGTGCAATAGTAGAAAATCCTGGTATAAATTTACGATAATATTCAGCAGCTTTAACAAATCGAAAAGCTTCTTTCGCTGTTGTTGGCTGTTGAGTTTCTATTAATGCACGAATGTTGTCTGCATTTGGTCTAACATTACTATGTTCGATGTGATGACCAAGAAAATCAATTGCTGTTTTTGCTATTTGACATTTATTAACATTGAGGCGGAAATTTGCATTGTTTAATCGATTAAGAACATCATCGAGATGAATAAGGTGTTGATCAAATGTTGGTGAATATATTATAACATCATCAAGATAAGCTAATGAATGTTGCCATCTTGTAGGTCCAAGTATTTGACTGACGATGCGTTGAAATGCTGGTGGGCCATTTGTAACACCTTGAGGTAATACTGTAAATTGATAATGTTGATCTCGAGTTGAGAAAGCCGTTTTTGGACGATCTTGCGGGTCAAGTCCCACTTGAAAATAACCAGATTTAAAGTCAATGGTTGTATAATATTCAGCATGTGATAAATGATCAAAGATATCATCGATTCGAGGCATAGGAAATGCATCTTTGGTTGTAATATTGTTTAATTTCCTAAAATCAATACAGAATCGAACAGAACCATCTTTTTTCCTCACCAATACTATAGGTGATGACCATGGTGATGTAGATTCTTCGATTATTCCTTGTTTGAGTAATTTATCAATTTCTTCTCTCTGTATTTGTTCATCCTTGTAAGAAACACGATATGGGGGAGTATAAGTTGGTGGATGAGTGCCAGTTTCAATAGCGTGATGTACTGTAGCTTTGATGATGGACGGTTGACGAATATCAAATAATTTACCATGTTTCCATAAAAGTTGCTGTAATTGTTGTTGTTGTTTGTCGTTTTCGATGTGTTGAGTTAGTTTTCCAATTTGTTCTCGCATTTCTGGTGGATAGCATTTCCGACATAAATGCTGTTGTAAATCATTCCGTGATAAAAATTGTTCTTGACATACATAACATTGATGTTCAGGATCGGTATTGTTGTTCATTTGACAGGTAAAGTTCGTAGATTGAACTTTCCTCTTATTATTCATTGAAGGAATCCAGGAACGACTCACAAAAGAGTTGTTCCTTCTGTAAAAATTCGATGTTATAGGTGTTGATCGATCAGTTTTATTTTTTGTTAATACTGGTAAAATAAGATAGTTATTGGCTTTGGATTGATATGTAATATATCCTAATGATGTATTCTTCGATAAAGTCTTTTGACGATCATTTGCATTCAAAATCATAACTTGACTTCTGTTGTCTTCTAACTTAATTAATGCATTCGTAAGTAACATTTGTTTCGAATATAAATATGCTGCTGGTTCAAATAAAGCTTCGGTTATGTTCATTGTTGGTGATAATACTTTGATGTTAACGCATTTTTCGGAGTGCGGTGGAAGAGTAATTTCATCGGTTAATAGTACTGGTAATTGAAGGTGTGCCGGTTTAACGAATGTTGCTGTTGCTAGAATGTTTCGTTTGTTGTCAGTGAGATAAATGCATTGTTGTGGTGAATCGATAATAACATTGTTTGCTGTAATCCAATCATTTCCAAGTAATAAATCAGTAATAAGATTAGTTGCAACATCTGCTAAAATTAATGTTTTATGTCCTTGTATTTTAATTTCAAGTTGAATTTCACCAATAATATTAATCGATGAACAATTGGCTGATTTGTGTAATTTCTTCTTGTAAGTAAATTCCTTATGATAAATTGTTTTTAATAATTGTTGATTAATAATGGTGACTGCAGATCCAGTATCGACAATAGCTTGATGTTGTTTATTATTTACTTGAACTTTTATATGAATAGGAGTTGATGATGTTGGTGATGTATAATTTGTTGTTGATGGATTTTCTTTACTACTGGAGTGACCACCATCACGGGTTCCAGCTAGTAGAAAACCTGTGGACAATCACGTATATGATGATCGGACTGTCCACATTTAAAACATCCATATAATTTCTTGTAATAACAATCAATTGTTCGATGATTAATGCGTTGGCATACACCACACGGTCGTCGTTGAGAATCATGTTGTGTAGGTGAATAAGGTTTAACATTTACGTCTTGACGTCGTGATGAATTATTAATTGATGAATAATGTGATTCCCGTTTATGTAAAATAGGTGATGGTCGGGAAGTTGAACTGTAATTTTTTTGTTGTGACTTTAATGAATCTAAAGGGTTGGATGATGGAGCATATTGTTTATATGTTGTGTGTCGTGATGGTGAGTATGTTAATGTTGGTATCCTTTCGGAGTTGCTTCGTGTTTGTTGTGCTGTTGTTGATACGGTATTCGTAATGTATGGTAAATAAGATTGTGTTGCTTGGAGTTCAGAAGAATCTTCTTCTTGTAATTCTTGTTCATCTTTAGCAATTTTTAAGAATGCTTGAATTGTTCGTGCTGATTCAGGTAACAATTTCATTTGTCGTTTAATTTGAGTCTTCAATGAATCTTTAATTCCATTTTGTAACCACGATATCATCATTTTTTGTGACATGGATGAATCATACTCACGACATAATTTGATGACAGCATCATAATACGATGTAATTGTTTCATCTGATTTTTGTTTTCGTTCTTTCAATTGTTCAAATATTTTCGATGTTGAATCCGATGTTGTAAATCTTTCTAATAATGCTGGTTTTAAATTTTCCCATTTGGTTAATGTCATATTGTCTTCATACCAGCGTTTCACTTCCCCATCTAATTTTGCTGTACACATACAATGTAAAATATCATCATTTGCATTAATCATTCTTCCAATCCTTTCAATATTATTAATATATTGTGAAACTTTTTGATCTTCACCACCATTGAATTTGTCCAGATTTGATAAACATTCACGATAACATATCATCATCGCTGAATCTTGTGCAGTGTGAGACATTGTTTGAATTTGTTCGGTAGTATTATTTAATGAGTCCAGAGTTAATCTTTTTACTGTACGTTCAGATGTTTTTGTTAATAAATCACCAGTAAATTCTGGATCGTTACCAGCACTTCGAAGATTATAAGCCGTTATTTTAATAACAATAATAAAATTATGATAATATAATGTGGAATTTAATTGATAACGTTGTATGTATAATAATGATCGAGTGGTTCTCTTCTTTTTTTCCTCTCAGACAATTCCCAATGGAACTATCTCTTTAATTCAATCGAGGTTTTCCAGGCAGCTTCCAATGGAGCTACCTCTATATTAAATAAATAAAAAAAATGTAATCACTTACCGATATGTATATATATTTATTTTTATTTTTTTTAAAATTCCGATGGTATATGAAAGATTTATGTGTTGGTTCGTGTTTTATTATTAATAAATAATAAAACAGTCGGTCACGGCACCAATATTAGGGGTTATTTCCAAAAAGAGAATAGATATGTATATAGAATGT